AATCATCTATATTTTGTAATAGGAGCATGCAGGATTACTAGGAAAAATTCGTTCCCCCGCTAACAGCCCAGTACAGAAATCGGTTGGGCGCTAAAGATAGCCAGTTAAAAATTAAGCCATAAAAATAACTAACCTACAAGAAAACTGGGGTAATAAAGTAATGGGCCATTGAGTTGCCGTTTAGGGGGGTCGAGGCACAGAGGAGGAATGGGCCGCGGGCGGAAATGAGTTTTCAGCAAGTCCACATCCCCATCCGAGGGACTGGCTGGGGGGCAACCCCTAAAGAAACACTAGCAATGGCTCCCAAACGGACATACAAACGGACATACACACAAACACTCACAAAAGGACGAGTCTCAATTCGGGGAGCACAAACGACGCTCCATGCCCCCCCCCCCCTCGGCTCGTCGTCGGTCTCAATGGAAGGGAGGGGCGGCTTCATAAATAGCCCCGAAAAAGGGAAACTGGGAGACGAATACAAACTTGTTGGAAAACGCAGTTAGCTTTTCCTCACAAGGCATGAGTCGTTTTTCAGTGAAATCGGAACTTTGCATGTGACGAGAAAAGCTCAGCCTTTTTCCATAGAACTAGCGGTACTGCGCTGTTCGCAGGGGGAAACTAATTTTTATTTTTTTCCACCTATACCTAGCTGTAAATAATCAATAGTGTATTTTTATAATGTTTTAGTAATTTTTGATTGTTAAAAGATGACAAACAATATTTTAGACTTTTAAATGCAATTAAAATTGGAATATTTAAGTAATTTTGAATGAAATTTGGCACAGAAACTAAAAAGGTTCTGAAAATTTCTAGCAATTTTTAAGAGCTTTTTATATCTAAAAAATGTATAAAATACTGTAAAAAAGTTATGATTTTTTATCGGGTCCTTACAGGGTTCTGAGGAAATTTCAGCCCCCCCTGCTAACAGTCCAGTACCGAAAGTTTCGGCCTTTTTTCTATAGAACTAGCTAGGTTAGACGGGAAAACCCTATGCAAAAAACAAAACTTCACTTTAAAACGACTACTTCTTACTAAAAACCGGAAATGCTATAGCGCATGCTAGCTTGCGGGGTACATGCTGCTTTGAAGGCAATTTGGTTTGCTAGGGGGCTTGAAGTGTTTATGAGGGGATCGTGTGATGAGGATCTCGCGGAAGTTACACCCAAAAGTCTGCCCCGTTTCTTTTCGGTGATGACCAAGTGTCAGAGAAGGTTGATGGCCCACCGGGGGCCACTCCTCTAACAATCTGGGCCCCAACGGCAACTTTTCAAACCTAGGAAACTAGGATCGACATTATGGCAGTGAATTGAAGGCCTGAGTTGCTAGAAACTGAAAAAAACGATGTTATGATACGAGGACCACGTCACTATATAAGGCATTGAAGCTAGTCACACCTGAACCTCTCTAAAAAGTCGGCACCCCTCGCAAAACGATTCGATTACCTCAAAGAAAGCCATTTATCCATTTGCAAGCTATACCTGACCTCCTTCCCCTCACCAAAGATCGTATACTCATATTGGTACTGGAATGTTAGCAGGGGGAACTAGTTTTTACTTTTTTCGACAATATATAGCTGTTAATTAATAAAATAGTTTTTGATTGCTAGATAGTTACAAAAATATTTTAAAATGTCATTTTCTGGTCATTCTCCATACGTCTTTGACAAAAAAGTCGAAGATTTTCTAAGTTTTTGTGGGCTTTTCATCTCTAAAACCATCTAAAAATCCTCCCTCCCTGCTAACAGTCCAGTACCCTCATATTTTTAATTCCTACCCGAACGGAGAAAGCAAGCAACAACTATCCATACGCCGAGTTCCCTAGCAGTTTATCGGGTGACACCTGAAAATCCCATAGAAAAACCGAGCAAGAAAAGATTGGGGAGTCGAGCTCCCGGTCATCCATCAAAATTTAATGCCGGCAACCTAGAGCTAGCGGGCTAGAAGCGAGGGCTCGGTTCCAGTCATATAAGTCCCGTGGGACTGCTACCCGGTGCTGCCAACAAAAACGGACTTGCATATCCGGAATTGGGCCGCGCAATATTGAAAAAAACTGCACGAAAGGGGCGGCAAATGGACATCAGTAAAAATATTGGTACTGGGCTGTTAGCAGGGGGGAAATTAACTTTTATCAGTAATCCTGCACGTTCCTATAGCAAAATATAGACCACTTCTGTAGCATTTTCCATATTTTCAGATGTAAAAAGCTCATGAAAACATAGAATTTTCGTAAATTTGTGACTTTTGGGTAAAGACTTGATAAAAAATGACTAAAAAGCAAAATTTTCGATATTTCCAAATGTTTAAATAGTTTTTGTAACTTTCTAAGAACCCAAAACCACTAAAAACCACTAAAAACGTTATAAAATCATTGTTAAAGCCAGGAATGACAAAAAAAATTAGCTCGCCCTGCTGATAGTCTAGTACCAAAACGACCTTGAAATGACTAAATGCGAGAAGTAGATGCGCTGGGGCAGGTCGAAGAAATGAAGCGCTCGAAGGGCTGCCGGAGAGAAATGGGGTCCCGCGGTGGCCGGAATTAACGTGTATTTTTTCGAGAAACGAGGGCGGAGGTCTTCGAGCCAACCCAGGCAAATAGGAAAAGTCAACATGGCGGGCGGGCCCCAGAAGCCGATCCAATCTTCTTCGCCACAGTCTCTTTTGGCCATTGGCCAAGTGGGACCGGGAGGAGGGAGGAGGAGGGAGGAGGAACAGATCGACCAACAAACACGGACAGCACGTGTCCTCCCCGCGCTACCGTTCTTACGGCTTCACAAACCATTGCGCCCGGCCGGGAAAGCCACATTTTTTTTTTTTTTTTTTTTTTTTTTTTTTTTTTTTTTTTTTTTTTTTTTTTTTTTTTTTTTTTTTTTTTTTTTTTTTTTTTTTTTTTTTTTTGTACCCCTAAAAATTAAAAAAAAGGTAATATTTTGCGTGCTGCTGGAGGCGCACGCTTTGGCCACCTCGGCCTGGGCTTTCGTAAATTCATCTTCCATCGTCATCTAAAATAGGATCCGGCCCGAATTATTAGTATACCAAGGCGTCCACCAGCTTTGTAGAAACAGTTGCCTCATTTGGTGGTGGCATCTCGCTTGGCAACTGAAAAGTACAATACACAATATTATTGGATTCAAGAGGTACATTTCATAGCTTAATAAAACCGGAAAAGAGTTAGCTGCTGAGAAAAGAGAAACTTCTAAAAATATAACTTCGAGAATTCTAACTTCTACATTTGTTTCTTGCTATTTTGCATCCTATTCCCTGCCCCGGAGAGGAAAAATTTTAGGTAAAAACTTTTTAAGAAAGAGAAAGGCTTTTTAGAAGTAATGACTTTTAGAAGTAATCAGCGTAGCCCAGAAAAGCGCATGCTTCTATCCCCTTACTATTTTTAGTTTACCACCTCAATTGTCTGTTTTGCCGTAATTTGACCATTCAATACAGCTGTTTTGCCAAAGTCCTCGTGCCTCATATCACTAAATATCCGCCAGACCAAAAGATGCCAATCGCTGAACGGGGGCCGCCACACTCTGGCGACCGAACTGTTTTTGCGGTGGTTGAACCAGTTCCCCGGATCATTTCGCCCAGCTCGTCGTGCCCGGATGCGGAGGTGTAACGGTGGAAAAAATGAAAAATTCCGAGCCCAACCTCTTCGGCAACTATATAAAGGGGATCAGAGCAAGGAGCCCCGTGCCCTGACTCTGGTATCTGTTTCTCTATAATGTCCTTATCGACTTTCAAATTCTAACATTGTCCTGAAAACCTAGTTAGCTTGTTGCTGTAAAGCTGCTTGCTCACTTTGTGCCCTTTTCAGATGAAGTTCTACATCTGTCTGCTCTTCGTTATCGCTATCGTGCAGCTGGCTGCTGCAGGTAGAATCGAGCTTTGCTTAACCGAAATAACTCATACTTTAGGATACGGCTACAACCCTCCACCGCCATCACGTAAATTTTAAAACTTGGCTAAAGTTAACGTTAAAGTATCGTTCATCACTCAAATTAAGCGTACGGCGGCGGCGGCTATCAGGGAGGAATGGGCGGAGATATTGGGCTGGGCGGCGGCGGTATGGGAGGCGGCTTCCAATCCGGTGGCGGCTTCGGACGCAAATAGAGTTGATATTATTGACCTATTCATTCCCCCAAGGCCATATCACATCATACACCAGTTACAACCCAGAAGATGTATTTTTCTTTTCTTTGTGTAAGATTTGAGCCACGCCGCAATAAAGGAAAAAAATTTATTTGAAAAACGCGAGAACTTGAACATAAATGGACACCGAACAGTGGAAGAAGCAGGAAACGCGCGGTTGTCGCGCGGGCAAAAAAGAATAATTTTATACACCGGCATAGTCTTTGGGATGTGGTGAAGGGGTATATGGGTGTATGGCCCGTGTAATCTCGAAATACTGAGGAGATACATTCATGTCAAGGGGTCTCGAAGGAGTGCAAGAAATGAGATGTAAGCGACGACGATCAAACATTGATGATCGTCATAAATATAAGATTAAATCTAGGGAGAGGTTAGGGACGACCAACAATCAGTTTATGACATAAACACTAGATAAAAGAATTGGTTAGGGCAGAAAATAGGGGCAGAGTCGGAGCTGGGAGACGCGGAAAAAACCTTTCGATGCAAGTACAGATCACGGTGGATCTAGAGCGAGCATAAACAGGTTCAACGGGCTAAACGTGCATAGAACTAGCACCATGCATTATTAAAGGTGCAAGGGGTAGGTTCAGAGCAAGCACGCGAGGCGAATGGTGCGTTTTCCTTGCAGGGAAAACTTAAGGATCAGGGGGAGGGCGTAGCACTTATTTGGGTAGAAGCGCGAACAGCTGATAATTTGTCGAAATTCATTCAATTTAGTGCGAAAAATTAATCAAAAGCATGTCCACGAATCGGCTCAAATAAGTGCCACAAATACACGCATATCACGAAAGGCACTGGGAAAACCAAGGCGAGGAGACGTGGATCTAAGAAGCGGTAATGAGAGATAAAGGAAGGCTAATGGTCGATTTGGAATTGCTTGATCATCTCCCTGACGACGCCAAGCTGGGACGGAACGTCTGGCGGCGGCATATCAATGTCCGCAACCGGAAGATTGTAGATTTGACGGACTTGGTCCAAGGAAATCGGCTTGCGAGAACGACTGTGCGCAGAAGGTCCGATGACGATCTGGTTTTCAGGGAGCGGGGGAGGCCTTCGCCTCTTGGCCCTGAAAAGCTTTCATTACGGCCTGCAGGGATCAAAAAGCAGTTATTAGTCATGCCCCCCTTATATTTACGCATGTCTCGAACGTAAAACATCTTGCTGCTGCACGAAATCGAGACACACCAAAAAGTTTTAACAAAAAAAATACCTTTCCGGAATCGGAGGAGCCGGCCCCATCCTCTGAGTCCTCATGATCTGCCAGCGCTCAAGGGACGGCACATCGGATGCCATCATAGCCGGATCAACCGCTGTCGACGGGCGCATGACCATGATCGGGGGACGCGCCTAAATAAAAATATTCACTCAGCAAGGGATTCATCGCTACCTTTGGTGTACGAAAGTCGTTAATGCCAACGTCGGTCATAGCCTTGGGAGTACTCGTGCTAAAAAAGGAATTTGATAACCGCCGTCTATGGAATCGCGCCGCCATAATTTTTTCCGAATCGCCAATTCGGCGGGTTACCGACAATGAAACGTTGAAACATGCGCAACAAGGCACCACAACGGAACTCGCACACACGCCAGCACAAAACCAAGAATAAATAAAACAAATTACCGTGGCTGCACGCGGGTGCAAACAACTTCAGGCACGGCAGCTCCCTCCGACGATCGTCCGTCAAGGCGGGTCAATGACTTTGAGCGCAATTTGACGGGCTCTCAAATAAAAAGGCTACTGTACGAAACACAATCAAAAAAGAGGCACAACAGCTATAAACCATTCTATCAAAAAAAAGGAAGCAGTCGCGTCTCCAAATTTTGGATTTGGAATCTACGCAAGTTATTGCACGTCTACGCACGTCTTTCAAACAATACAACAGCCCTGAGACTAGCAAAAAGCTGGAAAAGATGCACGGCCAAAATTTCATAAGAAATGCGAAGCTTGGCTACAGGATTCGACTAGCACTACAAAATATGGTTTGCGAAAATTCTCACCAGACATGCTGCCGTTGCGCTTGCTGATCAAGTCATCGATGCGCTTGGTCGCGGCAGCGGTGTCGCAAGCAGTAGCCTGAAAAGGGAAATGTCAAATTGGAACGGAAATCATTAGCCACAACAAAACCCCCCATGCTGTGCGGAGCGCTAACGGAAATCACCACATGTACGCAAAAGGTTAAGTTGTAGTTTGCATAGCACTAATGTATTAGGCCAAGGTGAGAGGAGTCTGAAGCGTAGCGTAGGGACGTCGTGCAAGTGCAGGTGCCATGCTGCACACGATGCACTCACGGTGGGGAGGCACAAGAGACTGTGCGAAGGGAGTGTGGCTGTTGTCGAAGGATCACGGGGTGGGAGGCCACGACACGCCGATAAAGTCGACGAATTCGGCCCACTCACATTATCCAATCCAAGCATCGTCAGTGACTTATACAAGTCGGCAAACGTAGATTCAATATCAGAGTCGAGATCATTCCTTTCTGGTGAATCCCCCCGGAAATTTTCAGGTCGATTCTGAATGATAAACGCTGATTGGGGTTACAGTATCCCAATTGATTCCCCCGGCAAATATCGAGAGCGGTTACGGGTCATATCGCGGATTTGGAAAGGCGAGCACCATATCTTTGTCTTGTGGTAATGCAAAAAATTTACCGGAGGGCTGCAACAGGTGCAGGCTTTTCCGTCGAGGGCTTCAGCCGGCGGCAAAATGGGCCTTCCGTCATAACGCGGCAGTCCGTTCGAGATTCCATGAGCTCGCTGCCCCTTCTTCTCGTAGAGGTTCTGGCGCGGAGTCGGCACCTCAGGCGCCTGAAAAATCGTTGTAAGGACACAAGTAAATAATACCACGCTAGTGCTAGCTGTCCTGGCACACGAACAATGATCGAACTTCACAACCTTCGACGGCAAAGATATGTAGGACTGAAAAAATACATTGTGCGCGGCAAAAACCCAACAAAAAAAAACTCAGTACACTGATGCATGGCAACAAAGGCAAACGAAACACAAACTTTATTATTAATACTACCACAACAAAAAAATAATACGCCATGCGAGATTAGTCCCAGGCTTAGAATTTATTAATTTCATTACTACCTCAATCAATCGATTGGCAGAAGAACTGCGCTTCCTGCTGGCGTTCTCTGCGCTTTTCTTTCGATTGGCCAGGTATTTCGGGAACCTCTTCAGGTTCTTGCTGAAGGGAACTAAACGGAAAATAAAGGAAGAAGGCAACGAATCACCTTCATTCAGATCAAAAATCGGGCTCTTCGGTTGCGTGTGATCCATGCTCAGCACAAGCTGCTTCGAAGCCTCAGGGATGTGGGCCTAAAACGTAGGCGTTTGCAAAAATTAAAAGTTAAATATACCTCGTAGTGGTCGACCAACATTCGCTTCAACTCCTGCATCCACACGCGCTTCTGTTCCATGCTGTTGGCCTAAAAACCTATTTTCGACAGCAGCAGATAGAACTCTAACCAAGAACACGTGCTGGGTACGAGGGTTTTCGCAAGAGCCGACTTGGAACGCCAACGGATCCTCAGAAACCACTTCGCTGAGAGTCAGGTTCGAGCACTAAATAGTTGATTAACGAATTACAAGCTGCGCAAACCATGATGTAATCCTTGCAAGCAAACTGCGAGCCCTTCTGCTTGACGATCAGAAGCATTTCCTCGAAAAGGAAAAGCAGTCTGGTCGCTTTGCCGCCAGCCATGCGGAAGTTGGCTTCCAGAAGAAGTTCGCCATAAGTAGCCAGGTCGGTGACCTAAAAATGAGTTTCATAGCGCAACAAAATAAATGAGCTAACAGCGCTGAATTACTCAGCAGAAAGCTCACCGGTTCGTTGCTCTTCCAGCGCCCGATCAGAGCATGCAATTGCTGAACGCGCTCCTGGTGCTCCACCCGCTTCTTCTCATCATTGATCCGGCCAGCCTATATTCACAAAGCCTTCACAAACGGGGATGATATACCTGAGCGATCATCACATCCAGGGCCTTCTTAACAAGCCTGGCGTCCTCGCTCGGATGATTCGATGTCGTGAGTTCCTTGAGGATGTGCTGAAAAAGAACCAATATTAATATTTTGAGAGAGTTGCACCTCCATGAACAAATGATATTTCAGGATGCGCTGCACCGGCTTCAACAGGTAGCTAGAGAGCGGCAGCGAATGCCCAAGCTGCTGCTGGCGACGTTGAAGAGCCTCAGAGACCACGGAGCGCGACGTGATGGAAGTCAAGGTAGCCAGCATTCTAGAAAATCGATAAAGATGACAATATCGATGAACGGAACTGCCAAACCGCATAATGCTGGCAAGGCTGGAGTCAACGAGCTAAAACAAAACATACGTCTGATAGTTTGTGCAGTAAGTCACGTAGTCGTCGAAGCACCCCGAAAAATCGATAAAGCAAGAAGCGATTTTCAGATGATCTAATTCGGCTTCATCCAAGTAGACGTAGAGGCGACGATTCAGCTGCAAAAAAGAGCATTTATTTTTCCAAAAGCACGTACTTGGAAAATTTTCTCGATGCAGCCAAAAGTGTGCGAAACTTCTTCCACCGTCAACTCCAAAGCGACGCGGGCGTCGACCAGATAGTTAAGGTAGCCCTAAACAAAGTCATCCGAAGGCAGAATATAATCACCTGGATGACCTGCCACAAGTCATTGACATAGGCGCGCTCGGTGTCGATCAATTCGGAAGAGATCATTTGGAGGCGCGTGAGGTTGCCGTTGGCCAAAACCGTTCGCCGCTTAGCCTCGCTCAACGAACTGCCAGGGCTACAAAAGACAATGGAGTAACAAAGGATATTTTTACCTAAACAAAACATCGTGATGGTCATCATCAGCGCCCTCTGTGGAACGAAGTGACGAGCGGGCGGATGAGTACCCGGTAGACGATGAAGCGAAGGAAAGGCGAGAATCTGGCTAAAACAGGAGGTTTAAAGGTGGCAAGTCACGATATTAAGATACCTGAGAGCCAACTGGAGTAGTGTGTCCATTGTTGTTATTGAAGACATGGCCATGGCACAGATTCGCTGATGGAGAAGGCTCCGGCATATCCACGTTTTGAGGAAAGGGTGGCGGACGTGGAGACGGGCTAAAGGAAATAATAGATTCAGGTAAGAACCAAAGGAAAAAACGACCGTTTGCCAACAGGAACTTACACTCCTATCAAAAACAGGGAAACCATGACAAAACAGTGAGAAGGATGGCCAAGAATAGGAATGCGGCTGGCTAAGAAAAGGTCAGTATAGCCTATGAGGTGACCCCCAAGAAAAAAGCTCGCTGATCACAATCTTGACGTCCGTGGTGCGGGTCCGCGACCCGTATAGGTGAGGGGAAGAGGGGTTTGCGGTCAGCATTGTTGGTACAATAGGGCGCACTACTTCACAATGGCGCGTACGCCGCCCTAGAGGATGCCTAGCCCAGCGGCGGAGCGGGTCCCGTTCGCTCCAAAAAAAACACCGATTCTACGGGCAAAATGATTTTGGCCAACGATTGGTCAAAATATTTCAGTTCCTGTTCCTAGACAGTACGATATTTCTAGAGGGCTGCAGCCTTAAAAGTCTTCCAACTTACACGCCTGCCAAATACAAGACGACCATCGGAATATTAGCCGTATTGATAGCGCTAGTTCTTGACGAACAGTTGCTCGAATGCAAGTTGAATAGAGTTGGGGCAGGGTCGTTCAAACCACAAAACTAATGTTCTGCTCTTACCCCGGGTCAGGGCCCAACTCAACCGCTGCTACCCCTTTTTTATATACGCTCGCACTAACGGTGAGTCTCAAGGCTCAACAGGCCCGGTTGTGTTGTGCCATTCGTCTTCAGTACGGCTGCGTTCATTTTTTGGCGTCGGGCGCCGCCACCCGGGGACCCCCGTTCATTAGACAACTGTTCCGATTAGCGGGGCCTATACATCTAATCTTGGCGCACGGGCCGATCGAGGGAGAGCCGCTGGGGGGAAAAAACAGGGACAGCTTTGTGAGTTGCAGACAATTAGGAGGAACCGACCCTAGAAAAACCAAGGCGACTCAAGAAGGTTATATACAAAAACGAGGCTAGCACAAAAAGGGCTGGAAATCAACAAAGATACCTAAGATAGAGCTAAAACCCACGTCGATTATGAATTAGAACTAAAGAAACAATGAACTTTGAGATATTCTATCTAAACAAATCTTTAGCAAGCGTGTAACGTGGCTAAGCCGCACTCAAGCACCCCAGGAGAAAAAAACGCCCGCATCACATGCATAAAGGCCGCCCGGGGCTTTAACGATGTTTACTGGCGCTGTTATGCAAATGAAAAAGGGGACGTGTTCTCAATAGGCTCCAGACTAGCATCAGGGATCTTGGTTAGAAAAGCGCACGCATTTGAAGCTTGGTAACCAAAAATGGGGGCCTAAAAGCCTCAGAGACACCTGAAATAAAAAAGCCACAAGACGAACGACGTCTAGAATCTAGTAAAGTTGAAAAGTGAGATGTCTGGTAAAGTTGAAAAATACTGGAAATTAGCGCGGAAAGAATCACCATATAGCCGGGCACAAGAGGAAGAAGGACATGGGTAAAAATGACGGAAAGAATCGTAAAAAGATCAAAGAAACGGAGGGATTTGTAAGGATGCTAATCAAAACTCAAAAAAAATGGGAAATGCGGGAAAAATTAGGAGTGGCTCCGCGACAGTCCGTTTGGATACGGTGGCTACTGTATATTGGATTGCCGCGGAAGTCCGAATTGGGATAAAATTTTCCGAACGATAATATTTTAAACTTTTTAATACTGATACTAAAATCTTTTAGGGGATATGAGTTTAATATATGAAAAACCGGCATTAAAGACCGCTGGAGGGTGCGCGGAAAGCTAGTATATGACCGGTAGGGGCACAAACAAAGCCGAAAAAGGCACCTGGCGGGGATTTGCGCGACGGCTCTTCGTTCCGCCCCATAATTCGACCAGTTCGCGAGTAGTTGGTTCGGTTCGGCGAGCATTTTAGAAACGAGTGGTAGTGCATCGAATGACTTTGGGTGGACCAGGGCCATAGGTGTCAGACGGCGTTGGTCCGCTTTTTCGGGACGGAATTGGTCGAGTAGTTTTCTGCCCATTTGGGGGCTAATAAGGGGCCCTAGTGGGCATAGGCAATTGTAGTTAGCCATTGGGTATTTGGGGAAAATGATATTTTTAGTTTGTTTTATGTTAGACCATCCAGAAATCGAGTTTTTAGATGTAAATATTGATTCTTTTAGCTTCTTTTGTTTTAAAAGCCGGGATTTTCAGGAATAATAGCAAGTTTCGACCAATCCGACCGTCCAAACTGATTGTGAGGTGTGGTGGAGCTTTTGTTTTGCCCTCCGGTCTCCCAGGCTGAGGCAGCCGTTCGGGTGCTCAATCGAGTTTTTGTTAAGGTTGCCCCCCGGAGGTCCCGACAGGGAAGAACAGCTCCCTGATATCGACACTATTTCATTCCATTCTTTAGGAGCGCCAGCTAAGAGGGGAGCCGCAGCAGCACTCTGGGAAAGTGTAAGAAGTGGGGTGATGCTCATCATTTTCACCTCGCACCTTGCGTTCCCTGGACACGGATTAAGTTTCAAGGAGGGGCGGAAAAAGCGAGTAACAAAGTTAGGGGGTAGTACTGGTAGGGCTGTAGGTGGTTCCCCAGTAAGCTCCGTCTCCAGACGTCCTATTAGTGCGCCGGGTATCTCAAAAACTTCGTCGTGGTATAAAACCTTTAGGTAAAGTTTTTTAAACTCAGATTGAACAGGTTTTTTCGGTACCGGACTGTTACAGGGGGAACTAATTTGGTTTTTTTTCTGGCTCTATCTACCTGTTAATAATAAATAACGTGTTTTTTTCGATTTTTCGAAGTTTTTGTTTGCTAGAAAGTATTTTAAACATCGAAAATTCACAAACAAATCAGACGTTTTTTAGTCATTTTTATTTTTGACCAAAAAGTGAATTTTTTTTCTAATTTTTACGAGCTTTCGCTACCAAAACGTATACAAAATTCGAAAAAAGGTGATATTTTGTTATATGTCCCTACAGGAACCCACTGCTAACAGTCCAGTACCCATTTTTATAAACGCAGCGCATTAATCGGAGTCAAAGGTTTATTAAAGGCCAAGATTTCACCCAAACAACTCTAAAGAAAACTCACTCAACCATCATAAACAATTCCGCCAAATCGTAGCTGCGCCTCAACCCGGCCGGATACCTGGTCGTCGTAAATTTCGGGCGGCGCGGCCTCAATTCTGGCATGAAGCCAGCCATCGCTCAGAAAGTGAGTGGCAACTATGGCAGCCAATGGTGGTGGTTTCCGCTTTTGCGATGCGCGGGGGGGGGGATGGGTGGGTAATGTGGGGAATTTGTCACTTCGCATCTCCGAACCGTCAGCTGTGGCAAACCCCTAATTTGCGCCCCCCATACCTGGGGTGGGTTCTTTGCATTGCCCCCCGCTTTGGAAAGCGACGGTCGAAGGAAAAGCCCCGGCGCACAATTAGAGGACGGGCGGAAGAGGAGGCGGACAATACGCCGGCGACCACCAAGGTCATACAGGACAACAGTCAGAGGGCTCCCGAATCGGGAGTACGATATGCAATAATTACTCTTGGTGTACACACCCCGCCGCCACTTCTTCTTGCTGAGCATGAGCATCCACGCATGAAATTTGTTGCGGGGGAATGAGGGTTGATTGACAAATGAGAGTTTGATGTTTTGGTGTCGGGTTTTGAGTGATCAATGGTTTTGGAAACGAATCACCGGGGTTTGGGCCGAAGTCTAAGACAAGCCTGACCCAAGCCGAAGCAAAGCCCAAGCTTGTAGCTGGACTAAAGCTAAGCCTGCGCCTAAGCCCAAGTTCTCCATAAGCCTGAGCCTGAGCCTGACCTTAGCATACTTGCTTAATTTCCCGGATGATATCACCTATTAGCTGACGACCCAATAAATATGCCAATCACCCGAAAACCCCGGTGGCAATCGATCAACATCACTCAATTGGGGCGTCACGGCAAGCTGCCAAACAGACATCTCGGCGGGCGGTGAGCATGAGCATGAGCACGAAAAGCGAAATGAACGAGTGGCGGCGTTTGCTTTCAAAACGAGCATCGTGGTGTCACGGAGGGTGGATAATCGCCCCCCGGTCGGGCCCCGACGAGGAGAAAGCGGACGAGATCCAATTTGCCCGTCAAAAAGAGCGATTTATGCGCGCGGCCCGGGGGGTTTTTGGCAGCGCGGGTGGGTCGTCTCGAATTTTTAAGGGCACCACTTTGTTTGGGGGAGTAAGAATATGGATAGATAGGTAGAATAGGATACCGTATTTCCTCTAAAGGAGCGCAGGTCTTTCGGTACTGGACTGTTAGCCGGGGGACTGAATTCTGTAAGTATACCTGTACGGCCCCTTTAACAAGATATAAAGCATTTTTATAACCTTTTACATAATTTGTAGCTAAAAAAAGATCATAGACAACCTCAAAAAATCTTGAAAAAATTCTTAGTTTTTCATCAAAAATACATGAAAAATGACCAAAAAAGTTTAAAATTTTTCGAATTTTTAAGAATGTTTAAAGAATTTTTTCAGTTTTCTGGCGATCAAAAACGCGAAAACAATTATACAAATACAGTATTTATTTTTAACAGGTTGTTATAGACGAAAAAAAATTAGCCCCCCGCTAACAGCCCAGTACTGCTAAAATAAAGTGTTTGAATGATAAAGTGAAGTGCATAGCTGCATTTCACTTGCTGATCCCTTTAAATGACAGCATGCCTTAGCGGGGGGGTGGTCTCGCCACAAAGATTCAGGTCGTGTATTCGGGACTACAATGGATGACCTACTACGGTAGCCCGCCCATTCACTATCAAGCCAACTTTCGCTGGAGCGTGGGTGTATAAGGTTGAGCACGAGATACATATCTTGTTACTTAATACGAAGTAGTATTTGGTGGGTCCTATTTTCGATACCTACAATAAAAAAACTAACCTTTTAGATTGAAAATGACGCCGAGACATTTTGATGAGCTATGACTAGCTTGAAGAAACAATGTCAGTTGTGCGTATGCAAGCGATAGAGCGTCTTTGCGAGAAGAGGGGCAGCTAGGGCCCAGAGGCATTTCGAATGCTCAAATTTCGTGAGGGAGGAGGAGGGACCTCTAGCTGTTCATCGGATACAGTGGTCTCGTGATCTCAAGTAGACAAAGTCTAGTTTTAGTTCAGCAACAAGTTCAAGATGGTCAGTGCAAAATTGGCATGATTAAAAGATCACAAATCGACGGGTTATCCCAAAAATATAGATCCGGTATTTCGTCGTATTACATCTAGTTGGTCCCAAAATTTGGAAATATGTGTATCAGACCCTAATTAATGATCTGAGTGATAGCCTTATAGCTACAGTAGTAACTTTTTTCGATCTTTCATCGAGTTCCGGTGAGATACGACCTCCAAAATATCAAGTGCAAATGATTTGACCAGCCCGCTTTACCTTAAGAATTTTTCCCGGACTAAATTGATCAAATAAACGTCAATGTAAACGATTTTAGAAGCCAGATTTACCCAGATTTAAACGGAAGTAGTGAGTCGCCGCCGGATGTTGATGCAAATCGCTGGAAAGTCCAAAAAAATAACCGAAAAACTGTTTAAAATAGCGGAAAAAAACAGTACGACTCGAAAACTACGGTAGCTCAAGCACCAAGCTCGTTATTTCCTATCCTAAAACTTCTAAAACGGAATGTTGGAAACTTGCCTTAAAAGTGCTTGAAAAGACGTAGTGAAAGGATAGCCCCCCACCCCCTGGCCGAGATGCCTCCTAAATGGGGGCGTCGAAGCGAGATGACCCTCAGCGGCTCTAACAGGCTATTCGTATGCAAAAACGGCTAGGCCAAGAAAAACGGTCGACGACAGTTTTTTCGAGCGTCAATGGGTTTTGTATTGTTTGGGAGAGTTGAAAAGAAAGACGGGGGGGCAGGGGGCGTTGAAAAAGGGATTCCCGATTTGCGGGTTTTGCATGTTGAAAACGGTATCCAATTTTGTGGTGGAGGAGTTGATGGGGATGTTTTTTTAGGTTCCTGGATGTTAGCGGGGGGCTATCTTTTCCATGGGAGTACGGTACGATCTTATAATTGAGATAGAAACTGGATCATAAAAATAGTTGGTCCTCGCCCCTCCCCCCCCCGATAATGAAAAAGTGCCCAAAAATTATGATGAAAAAGTTCAACATAAGCAAAAAAATTTTAAACCGAAATGTACGGTAGCTTATGAAGGCGAATCTACGGAACCCTAGTGAATCCTTGGCACAATTCCAAAACTCCCGGCCGACGACAAATTGCGGGTTATTAGGGCCGGGATAGTCGTTTCGGTAGTTTAGCTGAGCGGGGGGTTGCTAGTACTGAAGTGGTTTCCGCGAGAATGTTTTGCCGAGCGCGCAAAAAAGATGATATTACTAAGGATTGGAAGGTTAGGTAAAGGGTATAGAGAACCCGTTTCGCCTCTTTTGACCAGCCTCCACCCCTCCGGATTCTATCCAATCAAACCCATAATCTTGTTTGCTGCAGAAAGCGCGGAACGATGGAGGGGATTGGTTGCACCTGTTCTTCAGATCCACACAAAACTGCTGCTCATTTTATGCGGGCAGGAGGTACAGAAATGGAAAGAAATGGAAATGGAAACGAACGGAAGGGCTAAAAAGGGGCTTTTTCGAGGGAAGAACCTACCATAGGCTGAGCTCTTTTTTGTCACGAGTACTCCATCGGCGGAGAAGTTTGGTATTTGGTGGAGGCTAAACTGAAAGTGTTACTAAGTAGGGATTTACACACCTTCAACGTTTTTGGCTGGCAATTCGCCGCCTGGACTTGGAGCCAATATTGGGATTCGTCGGGGTCGCAGATGCTAAAAGAAATTTAACTCAATGTAATCTTATAATTTAATCACCGTACCATAAAATTATGCTTAACCAAAAACCAGAAATTTTCAACGAATTTTAGCCGGCGGAGAAAAACAAACCGATATGGGCGTTTCGGTTGAAATGAGCGACGCCTTCTGAGTGTCGACTGGGCAATCGTTGATGTCGAATCAATTGTAGCGGTTTCTAAACAATTTGATGTACAGGTTTTTTGCTTCACAGAATTATTGGTCTCTCACTCGCTCTCCCCTCTCTCTCTCTCTCTTTCTCTCTCTCTCTCTCTCTCTCTCTCTCTCTCTCTCTCTCTCTCTCTCTCTCTCTCTCTCTCTCTCTCTCTCTCTCTCTCTCTCTCTCTCTCTCTCTCTCTCTCTTTCTCTCTCTCTCTCTCTTCTCTCTCGCTCTCTCTCTATTTCTCTCTCACTCTCACCCTCTCTATCTCTCTCACTCTTTCTCCTCTCTCCTCTCTCTCGCTCGGCCCTCTGTCATCTCTATCTCTCTCCCCTCCTCTCTCCTCTCTCTCTCCTCTCTCTTTCTCTCTCTCTCTCTCTCTCTCTCTCTCTCTCTTTCTCTCTCACTCTCACTCTCGCTTTCACCTCTCTTCTCTCTATCTCTCTCCCCTCTCTCTCCTCTCTCTCACTCTCTCTCGCGCTCTCAAGAAACGGGTGTATGTAACTGAGAAATTAGGAATTAACACGCAGATATCGCAAAAGCTTCTGTTTTCATGGTTTTCGCGGAATAAACTCAGAATGAATAAGTTTAAACTATAAAAAACTTCATTAAAGGGCCCACCTGCCAACTCATTATTTCCCGTCATAGTAGCGGTCGAATCCTCGCTGAGGGTCAGGCTGGTATCCATCCTAAAGGTAATCAAAAAAATTCAAAGTCTATTTTAACGCCAAACCCGGCACTAATCGTCGACGCGTGACTCATCAGGGAATAGTCGTCGTCTTCGTCGTGGTCGTTTTCATAGTCCGAGTCCTCCGAATTACGCCGGGAGCTGCTGAAGTCCGAGCGGATGCTTCTGACGCCTGAAAAGACATTTATTTATACATTAAATATTACAAAATTACTATTTACATAAGTTAAACTTAAGAGTGGGATAAGCAAGAGCTGGATTCCGAGACAAGTGAATTGAAAGAAGTCTCTTGCATACGAATTCTAGCCAATCTCCCCCCTGAAAGTCTCGGTAAGTGGGCTGGAGGCCATAAACCATATAGAGACGCGTGGGAAACGCCCGATTCCTTTCCATCCCCCACCAAAAACTGTCGATCTTTGTCGAAAGAATGGAAAAGAATACAAGAATGAGGAGTGAAATGGCCTCGTTAATCAATCGCGTACAGGGAATGAGGTCGTCAAAAAGTTTCGGGCTTGACAGAGAATGATAATTTGAACTTGTAGATTTGGGCTTTAGGGGCTAGTAATTTTTTTTTAAAGGGGTTGCTGATGAAAATCGATTAAGGCTTGATAATCTTGTGATCAGGCTCAGGCTGATGCTCCGGCTTAGGTTTAGGCTTAGGCTTCGGTTAGGGTAGGCCGAAGCTTAGCTTAAGACTTATGCGGATGTTTAGGCTTATGCTTATGCTTAGGGTTAGGCTTAGGCTCAGACTTAGGGCTTTGGCTTAGGCTTAGGTTTATGCTCGGCTTAGGCATAGGCTTAAGTTTAGGCTTAAGCCAAGGCTCGGCTTAGGCTTAGGCTCAAACTTTTTTGGAGTCAAAAGGCCAGGGCCCCGAGAAAACATCTCTGGATCCTTGCCAAACTTTGAGCGTGGGGGGCTCTAGTTTTGATCCCGTCGGGATGGCTGTGCTCTTTCGAGGGTTTTACAAATATTGCCACATAGCCCTCCCCCCACGTCGAGTATATAGAAATCGAAAGACCGGGGGACGGTATAGTTCAGATGGTACTGGACTCTTAGAGGGGTACAGTATATTTACAATCGAATTTCAAAAAATGTTTCGGAAATTTTTTGCAACTTCTAGCAACCAAAAACTACCAAAAACATTATAAAAATACAGTATTTATTATTAACATGTAATCATAGGCAGAAAAACCAGAATTAGTTCCCCCCGCTAACAGTCCAGTCCCTTTAGATCCCTCCTTACCCTCAAAAAACCAGCGCCACACCTTCGGATAGTCGATTCTAGTGAATAATACCATAGTAGAAAAAGGGTATAGGATGGGGAGAGGGAATGATTTTGAAGTCTTGCCACTGGATACCCTTTCCGAACACCAATCCCGGTGCGAACATTCTATCCTCCTCGGCCACTCGGCCAGATTGCCAACCAAGCCAAAATGGGGGAAGAGGGGGGACGGGTATTGGGAGAGGGAGTATCGGAAGGGACTTTGAAATATGAGACTACTGTGGGTACACCATGGGGCACCATTTATGCTATGGCAAGGGGAATGCCCAATTACGAAAGGTACCTAGACGAAAGTTTGACAAAAAAGAAAGACAGAGAACGAGAGAGAGAAAGAGGGAGAGAGAGACAGAGGGAGTGTAGACACAAAATGGTACTGGACTCGTAGCGGGGGTGGTGGGAGGTAACTTTGACCTATTGCCCAGTAGCGTAATCATAAAATATACAACGTTAATTCCGTTGTATATTTTATGATTACGCTACTGGTTACGTTTACGTTACGTTTTTTTGAAGATAAAAAGGTAACGATAAAAGAGAAAAATAAGAGATAAAACATCAAAAAATCAGACAAATAATAGATAACATATGAAAAAGATAAGATACGGAGTAAAAATTTCCTACAAAAATGGCTGAATGACTATTTAGTAATAGAAAACCAAAACATAAAACGCTGCAATTTAGCTACGCAGATATAGGCCAGATAGTTTTTTTTGTTAGCCCCGCCTCCTCCCCCCGTTAACAGTACAGTACGGTAAAGCCTACATGTCCTGATATAGTGCACTCGTTTATAGAGGTGTCTGTACGATGAGATGTGAGACAAACAGAGAAGATAGAATGGTAGTGTCAAGAATGGAAGAGTGTCAAGAGTAGCGCCGCGGAGGCAAGCGAGCGCGCAATAATCGGAAATTAGAGGTCGGCCAATCAAGAATGGCCGCCTTGGTGGATGGGGTGGGGGGCAATGGGGGCAAACGGGATTAACCCTTTCTCTCATTGTACATCGATACTTTGGGCAGTTGGGAGTCAGCATCGTAAAAAAGGAGTTGAATGTAAAAAAATGGTTTAACGGCACGACTTCGAGCTCGACCTGTTCAGCAAAAATGTGGATGGCAATTGTCACGAATTTAAGGATTTTTTTACTTAAAAAATCGTTTAAATCGGCAGTTTTGATTACGTTTTATCTTAAAAAACACCCCGGCAGAAACCGCGCCGAAAATTACTGTTTTTCGGTAAATTACCCAAAATCGGCCTGCTAATTGCGGAAAAAAATTACAAATTGCCAAAAAATCAGATTTTTAGCGATAATTTTTTTATTTTACCATATTTTGCTTAGAAATTTTGGCTGCACATAGTTTTAATAGGTTCCCATCGCTGGTAAAAATGTGGACCCGATCGGTTCGAAAAAGGCGAAATGCCGTGGGGTTCTTATTAGGACGCGGCTGTGTACATCCGTGACGAAGCCACAGCGCCAAACGACCAAATCCACGCAGGTGTAAAGAGATAGACGTTAATATAGCCCGTAATTAGGGCGATAATTCGGAGACGCCCGCGATATGAATTCCTATTTAGTGGGATGTGTCTTATTCGGAGTCTCCCGATCTCGCGAATGATAATCAAGTGGAATGGTGGGGAAAGAGGGGAGCACCAGCCCAAGGTCACTCAATTTGCCTAATCGGCTGGTAATAGCCGCGCTTACGGGAGGGGTGGTCATTTCGATGGTGGAAACGCCGTGATGGATTCATGGGTATTGGGAGAAAATAGATAGGTGAGAATGTAAGGTATCTTTAGAACAGCAGGGTAAAATCAGGATAAAATAGGAGTATAAAATATGAAATAAGCATAAAATAATATGAGTTTCAGGGTTGTAAAAATACAATGGAAATATGTAAACTATTTATTATTAACAGATAGATGGCGGTGTAAAAATAAAATTAAGCCCCCCCCCGCTAACAGCGCAGTACCAAGTTCACAAAGAGACGGAGATCATGCTTGAGCTGGAGCTTGAGCTTGAGCACGAGCAATTTTCAGAGATACGGATGGGTTTGGGAATGGTGTGCAAAGAGTCAGCTGGGAGGGGGAGAGACCACTCTACCAGCTGAAATCCAGCACCCCGGATTACACAGTTGGTGTCGACATGATCGAGGTGCCGAGTGAGTGGCCACTCACTATTCCCTTTCTCTAATTTTCCACTATTCCTATAGTTTCTCGTGATCTTCGGCTGGATGGGTCCCAATCATCAAAAGATAGCAATCCCGGATAGCAACTGGGGCCGTCACCCCCGGATTGCATAATCACTGAGGTACCGGGGGTTCAGTGAGTATTTGATAAATAGTGGTAATTGGTAAATAGGTATGATTTTATTATCAGTTAGTCGAAATTCAAATTGTCGACTTTTTAATGCGCTAAAATTTTTAATTTGCGGAATGTTTGAGATAAATAATCGTGGTGAAAAAGACATGGAAACGCGGCAAAATGAAATTTCGACAAAATATGTCGAGGAAAGACGAAATAAAAATATGCTAATAGGTATCTATTATTTTGAATAGCAGTATGTAAAATTTTAGCGTGCACGTTTCCGCCCCCCAACCCGGAAAAATAGATTAAAAGCGTTGATTCCATCCAAAAAAAGTATTGAAGGGCATTTTAAAGCCAATCCAGCTCAAGGAATTGTTTCAATTCTAAACTTTCTTTTGAAATTTTAGTAAATTTATCGAAATTTGGCGTTAAAAGAGCTTTTACCAGATTTTCAGGACTCTACCAAATGGCAATTCAGCATATCGAAAGTACCGAACAATAGCGAAAATACCGGAAAAATTTCGAAAATGCCGAAACTCTTGAAAATACCGAAAAATTTCGAGCATGCCGAAAATTATAATTATTCGAACTGCAATTAATCGATTTAGTAGTTTCTTCAACGCTCCATCGAATTGAAGTTGCGAAATACTATACAACAATTTAATGTATCAAAAATTTTGCTCTAACTATCTCTACAAAATACAGTAGATAAATTATATAGAGGTCACGGGGTATCAATCGCAAAAAGTCGGTGTGATTGTTTGGTGGGTGTCGGGGAGTAGCGTGTCGTCCTCTTCTGTCAATGCCCACCTCTCTTTTTTTTGTTTGGTAGAAGCCGCTGGGGCAAAAGGGGGAGGTAAAAAAGGAGAGGAGACAGACAAGACACACTCTCCCTAGCTGCTATGCAAACTAGTTAACCTCGCAACGGTCCAGCTTATAGACCGTCTCTCAACGGCCAAAAAAAAGATGAAAATAGAAACCGCGGTTAAAGGGAGGTGGAAGGTTCGGTTGGGGATTTTCTGTGAAATGGATTTCTTCTGGATTTTGGTGATTTCACCAGCCTCTCTAAAATTCGCGATCTTGTCGAAAATCGTTTTGTATAAATATAATTTTTTCGAAATTTCATTTTGTCAAAATTTCCAAATTCCATTTTTAATTAACTTTAAATTCATTTAAAACGCCTTTTTTAGCTCGATATCCATAAACATTTTATAAATTGAAATTTTGACAAAATTAAATTACGACAAAATGATATTTCGTCAAAAAAGCAAAATTTCACTTTTTAAAAGTTTTCGAAAATTTCTGTAATATTTATAAATCAATGTTTACCAAAAACCCTGTAAAGCGTACAATAAAAAATTGGCACAGTAGGTATTATTTCGAGCTTTTCAATCCTGGATAACACCCCCTCCCCCCCGCTAACAGCCAAGAGCCTGATTTATCCAGCTAAAGCTGTAGTCATTGCCCGCACCTTTAAAGATAACATAAACCTGCCCTTCTAACTAACACCAAAAATTTAGAAAAACCCCCCTGACGTTTTTCTCTTTTTTCACAACCCCCTGAACGCCACGAGCACCTGCCATCTCCCCCAGCAGTTTTTTTTTGGCAACAGCATTTGGGGAGGTGGGCTGTTTAGAAAAGAGTGAACGGGCCAATAGATCAGGCGGAAGAAAGTGCTCAAGCTAGCCAATAGGCACTCCCCAATAGCCCTCCTTCGGGGCAATGACAGCATGCAGGGGGTAATTCTTTTCATTACACTCATTCCCCCCGAGTGAGATCCACTCTAAACGCCCCATGTTGCCATTCACATTCATTGGATCAAAACATGGCTTCTTGTCCAGGATGTTATGTCTCGAAACAACTGTCAGGAAAAAGCGTGGGGGGTGACTAAGCCTAAGACTAAGCCTAAGTCTAAACCTGAGCTTAAGCATAAGCCTAAGCCTAAACCCAAGCCTAAGTCTAAGCCCAACCTGAAGCGAAGCCTAAGCCAGTCCAAGCATAACTCAAGCCTAAAAGCAACACTTAAGCCTAAGTCTAAACCTAAGCTTAAGCCTAAGCCTAAGCATAGCCTAAGCTCGAAGCTCGACCTAAAGCGGAGCGTAAGCTTAAACCCAAGCTGAAGCCAAGCCTAGCAGCTTAACCGAAGCCTAAGCCTAAATTTATCCAACGCTAAGCTAAACCTGAGCCTATGCTATGCTAACCCTAAGCCGAAGCGAAGCCAGAAGCTAAGCTTAAGCCTAAGCGCAAGCCCAAGTCAAGCAATGCCGGAGCCTATCGGTCAACTAAATTTAAACCATTAATCGATTATAGAGGTTTTAACGGCTGAAATTAACTTTACAACCTACCATAATAACGCTGAAAAAGGAGATGACTTTGGTAGTGGATCTCGTAGCGAAAGTGTGAATGCATGTGATGTGTAGAGGAATGGAATGGAATGGAATAAGAAGGGAAAGACGGGAGTGGACGTTGGTTCGGGCGGCTCGAAAAGAATCTGGGGTGTGTTGTGTTGGGAAAACGATGAGGGGGGGAAGGAGGTGGGAACGAGGCCCTGGGCGCCCACCCTTTCTCTATCAATGCAAAGAGACTGTTTTGCGGGGGGTAATCTGGAATGGACACCCTGGTAGACTGAAAAGTCACCGTTGGTTTAATCAACAAAAAAATATAGGGCCCCATTTTGAAAAAAAGATTGTTCTGAGGTAATGGGCTGTTAGCAGAGGGGGGCTATTT